CTCCTCGTCCTAAAAGTTGCACGTCATCCCTAAACATCACTATGAGTTGGGGACCAAGTGTTCAAATACATAAGTTTATGGAAATATTTCTCATCTAAACCATCACTAGGGGGGAAAGGTCAGCATTCACTTGTATGTGCTCACACACATCACATGCATGTACATTGATGTATAGGCAAACATCCATGTGTAGAAAAGTATCTTTATGTGGGGTGTCCTACAGTGCCTCTTGAATCTGCTAGCAAGAAAACCATTATCGCATGTAACCACCAAGGCTTTGGACCAGAACTGAAAACCAAAATAAACCTGTTCTTTATAAGTCACTTGGGCTGTGACATGTTATTGACAACATAAAAGGATCAATACAGCTAAAGAGATGAAACTGTCCTGGTGAAAGCAGAAAGTGAGGCTGGAGAAATAAGGCAGGAGTAGATGTCAAAAGCTCTTGGATGTCCCAACAAGGACAGACTGTATTCTGTATTCTAAGAGAATCAAGACCTGATCAGCAATACAGTTACCATCTGTGAATTTATCTTTAAATAATGTCCCCTTCAGTCAAGGGTGGCAAAAAAAAAAAAAAAAAAAAAAAAAAAAAGTGTGAAGTAAAAGGGGTCAGGGAGCTGAGCGAGAGAGCTTCCTGACACATGGCAAAGGCCTTCTTCTCTGAAGAGTAGGGACCCAGGAACTGGCTTGGTTAATATGTTGAATGGTTAGCTCAGAAAGGTTTAACTGAATGTTCATAAAATTGTAATATAAGGGGATAACTTAAACACTTGTACATTTACCAGTATTTGCTGTATTAGCTTTCTGGCATAAATCAAACATACAGTGATTTTCAGTTACATTATTTATATTTATTTACTTATTTATAGACAGGCAAACAGTAGGTATTTAGCATTCTTTCTTCTTCTTCCTCTCCTTCTTCACTTGGAAAACTACCTAAATTAATGACCCTTCCAGTTTTTTTGTTTTTATATGTTTGTTTTGTTTTGTGTTTTTGTTTTAAGAAAGAGTCTTTCCTTATGTGGCCCTGACTGGCCTGGAATTTGCTATGTAGACCAGGATGGCCTCCAACTCAGAGACCTGCCTCTGCCTCCTCTGTGCTGTGACTAAAGCTGTGTGCCTCCATGTCCCACTAGTTCTCCATTTTTATGACTTGCTTTTCCCCACTTGGCTTCATCACCACACCTTCATCAACCACAAGAATCTTCAGTGGCTCTGTCTCATCAGGTCTTGGAGAAGAATTCAGTTTGGTTTTAATAAAGACAACAGAGCCAGGCAAGACAGAGATGGGGGAGAAGAACTGCCGACTAGAGGCCAGCCTGGGCTACACAGGAAGCAAACAAAACCAGAAGCCACTTTTAATATTTATTTTTATTTGTATGTGTATGTGAATTTAACTGAAGGTGCCCGTGGAAGCTAGAAGAGTGGACTCTCTGTGGAGCTATAGTTACAGGCAGTTGTGAGCCACCATGTGGGTGCTGGGAATCAACCTCAGAGCCTCTGAAAGAGCAACACATCTGCGGTTAACTACTGAGCCATCTTTCCAGCCCCCAGGAACTGTTTTTAAGAATTAGGGAATATTTAATTAAGTTTCATGTAATAAGAACAAGTACAAAGGATTTAAACAGATTTGAGACCAATAACAAATGCACTCTAAATAAAATTTCAATTGTTCATGTATAGGAGGTGTGGGTGGGTGTGTATACCTGCCAAGCTTGATGTGTCCATATTTTTAGACAGAAGGAATGATGGTTAAATATGTCAGAGAAGAGTCAAAAACAAAGTAGTGAGGGTGCAGAGAAGGAATAAGCATGCACATGGGAAGAAATGACCACTTAGGCTGGGACATGAAGGGTTAGAGTAATGTGGTTAAGGTGGGAACAGGCCTCATGAAGGGGAAAGGAAGAATAGCACTTGGAGTGAAGTATACAAGCTCAATGTGCTGGAACTTAGTGGGATGGGAGCAGGATATAGGAGGCAAGAAAGGCAAGAGGTGGCATGCCAAGGGGAGTGGCCGGTACCTGGCCCTACACACCCAAAAGCACTGCCGAGCCTCCTAAGGCCTTCAGCTAGACAGCACCCTGGTGAGATGCTGCAAGGGAAAGCTGGAGCAGGGGCCAGTTAGGAAGCCACTGCCTTATCAGGTGAGAGGCAGTGGCCTGGGCCAGTGTGAAATCAAGAGGTAATCTAAGAGAATTGAACAGGCTTGAGGATCTGATGGGGAAGTAAGATATGGGGGAAAAGAATTCAAAGCTGATTTCCATGTTCTTGGGTAGGACCACTATGTGTCATTGCCCGAGATGGGGCCAGTGGAGGTGATAGGCTGCAGGTGGGGAAGACAGTAAATTCATCCCAGGATATGATGAACCTAAGAGCATGAGGTTCCTAAGAGTGAGAATCTTCTTTGCCTTTTTATTACTCCATGGGAGATACTATGAACAGCACCCTAGCATTCAAATTAATATTTGCTTGATCCATAAATACACAAAATGAATGCTCTGTTATGTGCACTTTCCCACAAGCCTGGTCCCAGAGCCGCATCAGTCCCAAAATAACACACAGAGAAGCTGTATTTAGTTGTAAAGCTGTTGGCCAATGGCTAGAGCATCTTATTGGCTAACTCTATCTTAAATATTAAACCATTTCTATCAATTTAAGTGTTTCCACATGGTCTTATCTTACTGGAGAGAGGGTCCAGACTTCTCATGTCCTACATCTTGACTCCTCTGTACTACATCTCCCAGAATCCTCCCTGTATCCTATCTTGCTTCCCTATTGGCCAACAGGGCTTTATTCATTAATCAGTAAGAGAAACATATATACAGAATGACATCTTCTATCATCTCTTTTTTTTGCTCCTGACAGCACCAAGCTATTCCCGAGAAAATGTTGGGCACTGATGTCACTCCTCTGGAATTCATTCTCTCCTCAGTTAATGGACTCTTGGGTAAAGAACCTCCCCCACCTCAGCCAGCCTTTCTATCTCCCTGTTTCTTGTTGGTCAGTCAGATACTCTAGGCCTTAGCCAAAGATGGCTGCCCCTATGCTGCTGTGAGACTTTGGGTGACTGTCCAGGTAGCCTGCTGTTTATGTCTTCATTGCATCTTGTGGAAGCTGCTTACCTGCACTTCCTGCCTACCCTAGTATCGTTATCCTCCTTCTCAGGTCTTTGATGAGGTTGAAGATTAGACTGTCACAATTATTGTTCTCTCTCTTCCTAGATAGAAATGTTAGATACAAGACTTATCCTTCCAGCTTAGGACAGCTCCATAGTAATCTCTGCTGTGCCTTCACTCTAGGACTGGATATGTAGTTCTTGCCATTTGCTCTTATTATTTCACTGGCAATAGGCCTTAAGTGTGTATGTTCTTATTTTCCTTCTCCTTGAGCATATTTATGTATCAAGCCCAAATCTTTTCTTTAGATTAAAAGAGGAATTGTAGTGAGATATCCACCCCGCCCACGCCTGTTCTACTGACCATGCCCACTGGGGCATGGAGACAGTGTGGGTGTGACCAGTGAAGTCTAGATCTGGGATACTCTCTTAGTTCCGAGTCAGAGACAGAGAAGATCTGAGGACATCCTTGGAGCAGGAACCCTCAGTGGTGATCTGTTTCTTGTGTAAGTGAATTCTCCCTGAATAAACCTCAATCAGCCTGTATTGTGTCCCAGAACCTTATTACCTGCTTTAAAGCTCCTTGAATTGTTTTATGTAAAGGGGTCTAGGAGGCTGTTTTGAAGCTCAGGTGGCAGAACCAGGTAAGGAGATACGAGTGTCCCTGGTACCTAGACCTTTGGCATGCTCAGCACTCCATTATCCTGAACTCATCAGCTCTGCCAAACCAACCCCTCCTCCTAGCATCTCTCTACCATACATTTCCTTTTCAGGGAGCAGGCACTCCATAAGGGTTTAGTGTTGGATTTTCAGTTAACATCTTGACAATAATTGGTCTTACTTCTTACCAGAATCCGGTGTCACCTGGCAAGTAAAGATCCCTCAGTCTCCTTGAACCCTGATGTCTCAAATGGGAGCCACTGATTTCTTGTAGGATAGCCAACAGAAGGTATAAAGTTAATATGCTTGGTACTTTTCTATCTCTTCACTGGGGGTAATAGTATGGTTTTGCTATAGCTGTTTTATAAATACAGGGTGCACCTTCCAAAGGAATATGGAGACCTTTATGGGTTACAGACAACTCCCCCTTTATGTCCCACAAACCATTAAAGAAGTCCTTCAGAGGAAGCCATACTTACACCTAAAAAGCATGGTACTTGTCAGCTGGAGGCACTGACTCTTTTTGTACCTTCATAGGCTAAAACAACCTCACAAACAATCTGGTCCATTTTGCTTAACTCCTCAGGAAGGACAATGCACTACTGTAACCTGTTTCTCTCTCCTTCTTTCTCTCTAAACTGCTATCTGCTGGCTCCTTGTCATCCATCCAGGCTTTCTCCATGCAGCTTTCAGGAGGGCTGGAGACTGAAGACATTATACCAGCTAGAGGCAGTCATAGGTGCGGAAGTCCATACCAAACACAGAGCACTGGCAGATCTTGCCCTGTTCTGTCCCTTTACCTTCTCAGCTCCTTCTCCTCAAATGTCCTCTTCAGCTTGCTTCTTCTATCTTTCATATATCAGTAGTATACTCTGCAGCTACAGTGACATGGCCATCATATCTCCTTCCCAGGACATCTGCCCTCACAGGAACAATCCTTTGTTCTATTTCTCTTCCCCACTAGAAATTAAAGGCAGGACCTTGCCTGTCTGACTTCAGGGCCTATGACATAGACAGCTACTAAGTAAATGAGGACAAAGAATGGCCTCTGACCAGCAACCTTAGAAACATAAGCTGACTCTGGCTATATCATTCAGTGGTCATGATTTTGTGCACATGCAAGACGCATCTTCACTGTTTACTAGCTCGCTTCTGGTAATGACTTCCACTATATTCCTCCTACATGTTACCCTCCCTCACACAAATCTACTGACTCTCAGAATACATTTAAAAAAAAAGACATTGTTTTATTTCTGCTAGCAGAAATGGGCTGCATGTTATAGTAGGTGTGGTGGGCTCAGTGCAGGTGTGGATGGGAGAGGATGTGATGGGTTGATAGCTGGAAGGGAAATGGGAGGGTTAGACACGCTTCTGGGAAGCCATGAGGAAGGACTCATGGCATGCTACAGCTAAGCCACCAATAAGGTTGAGAAACTCTTGGAAATCTAGTTGCCCATCGCTGTTGAGGTCCAGCTTCTTCATCATCCGATCCAAGACACCAGGATCCTTTTGGTTCTACAAAGACAAAGACATCTTTATATTTCACTTTCTATGGTGTTTTCAAATATGCTGCAACATCTTATTTTCGATAGTGTTATAAGGTCCGGGAAAGGGGTTATTAATAGTTCCTTTTTCAACATGAAGTAACAGATTCAAAGAAGGGAAGAGACATGCTTTAGCAGCAGACCTGGACATTAACCTGGTCTTCCTTGCCCCTTGTCCTGTGTTTTTGTGTGACATTAAGGGTTATTAAACCTTATAAAAGTGTGCATGCAAGTCCCACATGTAAACCATATGGAAATGAGTGGTTTCAGGTAGAACATTATAGGTCCTGCCCGAAAGCCTCACCCCCCACCAACCTGAGCCTACACACTATATTTGCATTTAGATTAATTTAGAAAGTTGTTAGCCATATGTCAAGTGAGTAGGATGAGTGTCTGGCACAAACCATGTGACTTCTGGCTACTCTATCAATAGTGTGAAGATGGAATATCACTTCCATCATTGCAGAAAACTTTATTGGACTGCCCGAAAGTCTTTGGGGTAGAGGAATAGAATTTGAAGTGATTCTATTATGGCATATGACATTTCACATGCCATTCCCACTGCCAGGCCATTGGTATGGCTCACATGGAGCTCACCCCAAGATCTAAGGACTCAGCAAGGGCTGAGAAATGGACACTTTGGCCTGGGGTTAGGGAGAAGAAGGCAGCTGCTAATCCTTAATGCTTGGCCATTCTGCCAGGCTCCTGCTTCATTCGGTGAGCAATCAGTGTATGGAAGCCAGGACAGTTACCTTCGTGAAAGCGGCTAGCTCTGTGTTCATGAAGGAGAGGAACTCAGTTTTGGAGAGTTGGCAGCTGTTCCCATCCTTTCCACTGTACTTTTGGAAAACAGCAATCAGGGATTCGATGCATCGCTCAGTCTCTGTGGGTTTGGACATTTTTGCCTTTGGAGAAAAATATGCAGAGCTCAGCATAAACGTATTTTGAGGGTTAGGAAGGCTAGAGAATGGAGAGTGCCAGAGGGTCACAGTGTTTTGTATTTATAGGGGCCAGAAAAGTGACCGCACCACAGACAGCAACGTTCTGTGATCTTTCTCATAGCTCCATTGTACTTGTTCCCAGTGCAATAGAGCATTCCATGTGCATGACGTCTGAAAACATTAGACAGTTCTGATGAGGGAGAAACTCCTCTGATACTCTCACAGTGTGAGCAAATACAAGCATAGCCTGTACACCCCACACACACTTAGACAGTATGAGTAAACACATGCATAGCCTTACACCCCCTACACACACACACACACACACACACACATGCACGCACTTAGACAATGTGAATAAATACATCCATAGCCTGTACACCCCCCCACACACACACTTAGTGTGAGTAGATACATGCATAATCTGTATGCCTCTCCCCTCACACACTGAACTTTAAAATTAAATTACAGTGACCTATTTCACAAGAGCAGAGAAAGGCTGCTGTGATAATTGGGATGCCATTAAATTAATGGGCATTTCTTTGAAGAAAATGAACAGCATATCTGTAATTGTGCACTGGGGGGGTGTTTTAGATGTGCTGAAATATATTCAACTAGGTGTGGGGATACATATGCTTGGAGGATCAAGAGTTTGGGTTAACCTGGGCTACCTTGTGAAACTGTAAATAATTCTCTCTGTGTGTGTGAGTGTGTATATGTGTGTCTGTGAGACAGACAGATATATACCATTAACTCACTTGTGCAGAACTGAGGCACGAGAGGGGAACTACCATGGGAAATCACCCCTAAGTTCTTGGTTCCCAGGTTTCTTTCTACTGACATCTGCCTTTGTTTCATCCAAGTGCCACTCATTTCCACAAGAATGGTAGCTGTAATTTCTTATTACAGAGTTGAAACAAAGCTGTGGTTGCACCAGGAAAACATCATTTCGAATCCTGTGCAGGACTCTGGTTTTCTCACAGCAGAATTCCTAAAGGAAATTCTACTGGGTTGAGTCATTCCTGCAGGAATCTGAGATCAGAACCCAGAAATGAACTGTTGTGCTCCCCCTGGTGGATAAGGGCACAACTGCAGGATTTCTTGGAACCTGCAGGGCCACACCCTGAAGCTTTCTTCTTGGTGTTAATTATGATTTGAATGGATATTAACAATTGCAACTTAGAATTCAGCCTTTGATTTCTCTCTGATGGACTTCCTGGATATGAAAGCTGGGAGCTTTCAGGCAGTGTGATAACATGTGCTAAAGATGACAAAATCTAGCAGGTCTGTAGCCCCTGGTTTCCGCTCCTAGCACCTCCTTCCTGTCTTTAGGCATTTTACCATCAAAATTGCACCATTGTGGCCCACTGTCCCTAGGAATATTCAGAGCACTTGAACCTCCTGGAGATAAATCCCTTTTAAACAGTCACAATGTTGAAGATTTAAGCTCCCTGACAGGAAACTTTAACTGAAGGAGAGAAAAGTGTTGGTAGGTTCAGGACTTGGAGAGAGAGAGAGAGAGAGAGAGAGAGAGAGAGAGAGAGAGAGAGAGAGAGAGAGAGAGAGAGAGAGAGAGAGAGAGAGAGAAAAACAAAACACCACAGCCTAGAAACAAGAGTTTACACAACATGCCTCTCCTATCAGAAATAAAAATCTCGATGACTAGTATGTCATGTGATAGCAGAAGTTTGGCTTGGGGCACACACTAGACTGAGGAGTAGGTTCCAGGCTGATGGGCCCAGCTCTGTGAACTGTTTCCCACACCTACAGATGCTTTCTTCCCCTTCCCTCGGAGAAGGGATTGCTGGGCTGGGAAAGTTTTGTCCATGTGGTACAGTGGCTGAAAGAAAGGGCCCTCTCCACTCTACCACCCTTCTACATGACGACCACAGTGACAGCTAGGAGGAAACACACCCTGAAAGAACACCGTAAAAGAATTTTTTAAACGCGCCTAAACATTCAACATTGCAGGAAAGCCTCCCTTTGAGGTGAATATGTGAAAGAGGGAACCACACCGGTAAACTCATTCTTAACCAAGGCCAGCACTCCTCCTTCCGGCCTGCAGGGCTTACCCATCTCCCTCCACCTCACAACCAGCCCAAGGCACCCAGTGTGATGAAAAGGGGAAGAAGGAAAAAAATAAGTAGGAAGTGCTGAGAGATTGACACACCAAAGCAGAGGTCTGCAAACATTTATCTTTTTAAATAAAGGGACAGCTGTGGCTATTTTTAGTTCTTTATGCTCCGTAGGGTCCTGCCAGTCTTTCACCATAGCCCAAGGGTGACAATACAGTGAAAGAGTGTGGGAGTGCCTGTAAACTGTATACACTTGATTTTCATATGCTTTTCATATATCACAAAGGATCGTTTTCCTTTCGACGGTCTTCCAACCATTTAAAAACAAAATCTATGTTTAGTTTAGGGCTAGGGTCACTCTCCAAAGTTTGCTAAACCTCTTCTTTGGAGAGACAAAGGAAAGTAGACTTTACAGATGAATTAGTGGAAAAGTCAGACATGCAGGTGATGCTAAAAAGGGAGTGGCTAAAAAGATGGCGGGGGGGGGGGGTAAGGGAGAGAGGAAAGGAGCGGGCTGGGTGGGACTGGCCTCCTCCCACATTCTTGCCCGCGGTTCCTCGGGCTGCAACAGGCTGCAGTTTCGGTGCATGCGTGTGTACCTTGGCCCTTTGCCCGCGGCTTCCCGCAGCTGATTCCCCAGAACTCTGGAATAAGAACTCAGGCTAAGTTCTGACCGCTTGCTTTCTGATCTGCACGAACGCCTGGCGACGCCGCCCAGAACTCCTTCCGGATCTCCAGCTCTCCGACCGTGTGCCCAGCCTTGCCGGAATCGGTGGCTTCGGCCCGAGGTCCCCGCCGCCCGCTGGGTACAGGGGCGCGTGGCCCGGGGACTCGGGCGGCCACACCCAGCCCGGGCTCCGAAGCCAGTAGGGCGGCCGCACCCAGCCCTACCCTGTATCTTGCCCAGGAGAACAAAAGTCCCCGTTTCTTCCCCCAGGCTGTAATTAGGGTGTAATTTGAGGGCTTCGTGGTGCCCTCCGCTCTTCTCTAATTGCCTCCCACACGGTTTCTTCTTCCTTATCTCTCTGCTGCCACGTCCACACTTAGTCCCAGATATCTCAGATACACCCGGTCGGAGAGCACGCGTAGCTTTGTCCTTTGTTCTTTTCATTGAAACGGAAGAAAAACAATCTAAAAGTTCAAAAGTTAGGCTTACCAAGTTGATGAGGAGCACAGGCGGGCTGCGACTGCGGCTGATGGCAGCAGGGACTGGAGTGGCGACGGGTCCGGATCCGGGTCCGCCCCTCGGCCTGACTCAGGCCGGGCCCGCCCCCGCCCCCGCCCCCGCCCCTTCCCCTCAGCGGGCCTAGGCCTGTCCCCATTGCGTTGGAACTTGCTCTGCCTAGACTCAGGACACACACCACACAGGTTGTCCTCCTTGGGACTCCACAGGCCTCTTTCCCTGTCTCCTGTGAATCTTGGGGGAAGTCTGCCCATATGCCTAGCTCATTTCTGTGCCTGGAACAGTTTGCACTTCAGGTTAGATACGCAAAATGGTTCCTTTAAAAAGAAGAATGGATCATAGAGCATAGTTGTCAAGAAGAGCTCTAGGAGCCAGACTCTATTCTACTACACTGAAGATAAACAGTGGTGATTTTAATATACTTTTATATGGTCTTCCTATGTAGTGAGATTGTAGCTTTGACTTTTTATACAGCACGGGCTGGCCTCAAACTTTGGGACCCTCCTACCCCCCGCTTTGCAAGTGCACCACCTGGACGACCTAACTGTAATGATTATTGCCAACAGAATATTGATGATTATTGTCTAGACATAATTTTCACCCTGCTCTCACGCTTTAAAAATGGCAGTTAACAAAACAGGAAAATGAAAATAACCAAACTATCGCAGCTAAACATTGGCCTGGGCTAGTGAGGCATTTGCCTGCCTGCATTTCAATAAAGCTGGAAATTTTATGAAGCACTTCTGGCTTCTAATCCTAGGTCCATAGTATCACTGCAGTACCTTTGTCAAGACCCCTCTCCACTCTGAGCTTCCAGTTCCTCATCTAGAAGCAAGTCATGTTGTCTTTACTATTTAGTAAAACTTTTAGGACTATCTATCACATAGAGTGATGTCTTTGCGGAGACTCCAGAAACTGCAGAGTAGACTGGAATGGTGCATTGTGTGAATGTAGCCTAGTCAGCTGCCAGCTTGTGCTATTGACGCTGGTACATGAGGCCAAATCCTCTTCTCCTGTTTTTTTCTTTACTTCACACTCACAGCTTCTGGCACTTGTTTAGAACCCTACTAAACAAGTCAGACATGGAGGCTTTTGCCTGTCATCTCAGCACTTGCAAGGCTTAGGCAGGAGGAATGCTACATGTTTGAGGGTAACCTGTGAGCTACATAGTGAACCTAGGTTACAGAGTATGTCCTTGTCTCAAATGAAAAAAAAAAAAAAATACTTGAAGCCCCACCTGTGTTTGAAACTCAGTAATTCAAGAAATAATTAGATTTTCCTATCCCCTCCCACTTCTCCATTTTTGCCAACAATGTGGTCATTTCCCCATTTTTCTTGAAAACGTTACTACTTTCTTTTAAGTCTTTCTTATACATGTTTTTAAGTCAAGGCCCTTGTAATGTCAGCTTTATTGTACTTGGACCCATCCATCATTATTCTAGTTTACATCCCAGCTCCCCTTTTCCTTTGATTTTTGTAACTGGGCCCTTGCCCTCCAGGAAAAAAAAAAAAAAAAAAAAAAAAAAAAAAAAAACACATTTAATCAATATAAAAACACATTTTCCTGATATGTGTTCTGATCAACTGCTTACTTCAGAGCAAAACATGAAACAATAAAAGTAACAAAGTGGCTTACAAGTACTTTAGACCAACCAAACTTCTGGGGTCAGTGAGTTGGCTCAGAGGGTAAGGGTACATCTTCCAAGCCAAACAGCCTGTATTTGGTCACTGGAATC